GCCCAGTGTCAGCAGGGTGGGGGTCCCCTACACTCAGCTGGAGACACAGAGGCCATGGGAGAGGGGTGTCCAAGCTGGACCCTGGACTCCAGCCCAGTCAAGGGCTCTCTGCTCATTGATATCACACCAAACACCCCGTGGAGAGTCACAAAGCCTCAAATGTATTTTTTATTTTTTTAATTATTTTTTTTGTAGGGGGGAGGTAATTAGGTTTGTTTGTTTGTTTACATGGAGGCACCAGGGATTGAGCCCAGGGTCTTGTGCATGCTAAGCACGTGCTCCACCCCTGAAGCCCCAGATTTCAGAGTATCCCGGGGTCATATGCTTTTTATAGGGTCAGGCCTGCCAGTCCAGGACACCAGCCAGGAAGACGATGATCCGAATGGGAGAAAGGAGCCTTGGGGAACCTCTGTGGATAGCCCAGGACCTGGGGGGCTGGCCAGCCCAGGTCTCAAAGCACCTCTGGTGTGCAGGCGCCCGCATCAGGACCCCCGGGGATCAGGCCTGCAGTGGGCACTCTGGGGGAGTGTGGCCTGTGAGCTGGGCACACAGCCAGCAGAGGTGGACCCTCCAGTGCTCCAGGGTCAGAAGGCTCCCAAAGGAGCAGCCTTGGCCAGGCAGCGTGGGGTCAGTGCCATCTGGTTGGGGTCAACCCAAAGTCTGGGGGCCTCAGAGGTTTCCCAGAGCCACATGCCCTGAAAGCTGGGGAGAGCCCGGAGGTGGCCCAGGTGGGCCTGCAGGTGGAGAGGAGACACCACTCCTTAGGGAGCAGCAAGGGACCTGTCCCCAGACCCTCCTCACGCTGGAAATGCTGGGACTCACCTGGCCCCATCCTACTGAAGGCAGCAGCCCTTGGAGGGCTGGGGACAGGTGGCAGCCCAGGAGGGGATGGGATGCTCCTGGCCTGTGGGGGTGCAGCCACTGCCCTGGGCCTCCTGCCGTCCTCGGGCCCTGATACCCGTTCGGTTCACTGAGGCTTGTCCTTTGCCTGCTGGCCTCCAGCTCCTTCAGCAGCCGGGAGCTGGGCTGCTGGGCAGTGGACTGTGCCAGCCCCAGGTCGGGGGAGGACTCCAGGCTGAGCAGTGGCCAAGAGGCCTGGGAGCTCTCCTGGTCCCCGTCCTGCTGGGCTTACAGCCTCCTAAGTAACAAGGCCTTGTCTCAGGGCTCCCAGCTGGTCCACGTCCTCCTCCACCGGGCTGGCAGCGGCCACCAGCCTCAGCCTTGCCCTTGCCCCCCCACCCCCCGCTGCTCTGCCCTCGGGACACGGTACCGGTTCTCGCAGCTGGGCTCCCTGGAAGGGCATCAGAGCAGCCCAGGGGAGGGAGCGCAGTCTCAGATACTCCACACCACAGCCTGGGGGCTCCGAACCCTCTTCCTGCAGAGACAAACACCCCGGGCAAGGAGCAGAGAGCCTCGCGCCTTGCTCGCACGCCCGCCCGGGGATGGGGGCTTCCTTCTCCCCACACGGCGCCGCACAGACCCGCCTCTACCGTGCAGCTCCTCCCAAGGGTGCAGGGCCCCTTGCGAGAGCTGGGCTCTGGGACAGGCGCTCCGTTACAGCCATCTGCTACCGATTGTGACACGGTGATGCTGCGCAAGCGTAAAGCGAGTGGCGCCCCCTACAGCTGCTTCCCGGAGAGGTCACTTTTAGGGCTTAGGCTGAGGCAGGTGTGTCCCCACAGCTGCCCCACAGATGGGGCCGAGCAGGGGGCTCCCGGGGTTGCTGTCAGGCTCCGGGCTCAGGTGAGGGGCGCTGTCCCGAGGGCAGGCTCCTCTGGCCCAGACCCCACGTCCCGGGGCTGAGGGGCACTCCGCGAACCTGCACCCCGGGCCAGAAGCATCTCTTCCCCAGTCGGGCTGCCATCTGTGTCTGACCTCCCACAGGTCCTGGGGCTCCTGTTACCCTGGGGTGGGGGTTGGCGAGAGCCTCGAAAGACAGAGGAGGACTGGTAGCCTCCACGCCCCTCCCCCGTGAGCTGACTCCTCCCACTCTGACCCCCCAAGAGTGGGCATCCCCCTCCTGTGGACTTGGGACAGAAAGCTGGGCCGGTCTGCTTTGGGGAGGGGGCGCTACATTGGGGACCTGTGCCCGAATGGTGTCCAGTACACACAGGGGGAGAAAATGAGTGACAGACCAACTCCCTCCCCCTTGCTAGCTACGTGTTCTTGACCCACCGCTGGACCTTTGTCCTCAGTTTCCCAGCTCCTAAGTAGGAAAGGTGCTGGGTAGCCCAGGAGTCAAAGCAAGACGGGAGACACACTCGCTGGGCTGTCTGGAGATGATTTGCTGGAAAGGTGACACGGGCAGCAAGGGGGAAGGTGGGCAGAGATGGGCCCCTCTCCCTTGCCCTGCCTACGACCTGCCCCCAGAAACCCCTCCCCCCACCCAAGAGGCCAGTGTGCCTGGCTGGGATAACACCTCCATCCTCCACGCTGCCCCGGCTGGGGCACACCAGCTGGCACGGGGTAGGGGCAGAGGGTGGGCACCTTGCCCAGCCCCTTTTGTCACATTCTCCTGTGCCCACTTCACCCCACCGTTCTCCCCTTGCCCAGTTGCTTCTGGGGCAGCTGTCGGCTGGGAAGCAGCTAGCCCAGGATTAACCCCCCCAGCGCCGGATGCTCGGCTGACTCAGCGCATTCTCCAGCAGCTGCCGCTCCCTCCTGCCTGTGCTTGGCTGCCAGGAGGCTCAGAGGGCTCCCACCCCTCACCTCTGCCCGCTAGCCGCACCACACGTAGAGAAGCCAGCGTGGGGGGTTTCCAGCCCCAGCCCCCAGGGGCTGCCTGGGTCCCCAGCTGTCAGGGGGTGCCGGGGCCAGAAGGTACTGCTGAGATGTGTGTGATGGGGGCCTCTGGACAATAGGGAAGGCGGAGTGGAGTGGGGGCAGGTCAAATCCCCCATCTGGGGACCCTCCGTGTGTGCCTCCCAAGGGATCATAAATTACATCTCGAGCTAGCCTGTCTGCTCCAGGACTCCAGATTCCTGCAGGTCCTCCTTCCCCTGGGCCAGCCCCTCCCCCACTCAGAGCTTCTCCAGCTTAGGGAACCACCTTTTCTTGCCTTCCCCAGGTTGAGGTACCGAATTGCTGGAAGAGGAGGGAGAGGGAAGGGGAGAGGGGAGAGGGGAGGGAGGTGGGGAGCAGGGTCATTTCATTGCCTGTTTCTCAACTCCTAGAGAAGCGTCAGTCCAGTCCCTTGGGATTCAGGATTTGCAGGAGTCCGGGGACAGCCAGGGAGATGTAGCTAGTGGTGCAACCTTCCGGGAACAGCTGCTGGGGCAGGACCCCTGCCAGGACCAGCTGGCCATCACCCCACACACTCACCCGGCTCCCCAGGACTGTCCAGGGGGTCCCACGTGGGGCAGACACTCGGCTGGCCTGGCTCAGAGAATGGGGGGGAGCTGCCAGCCCAGCAGCTGCACCCGCCTCGCCCCATCAGGGCTT